AAATTTAATTACTCCAGTAATGTTGACATCACTGTTCAATTTCACACGATCATTATTCAGCTGGACAATATCAAGTCCGGACACGTTCTCTGTTGATGAATCACAATTACTGTCATTTTATGATCAGAAAAGTGATGTTCATATATATATATATATTAAACATGTAGCAAGAGTTAGCTATGTGATAGAGCATATGGGTACCACCCTATTGGGAAATAAAGCTTTTTGAAGTAAAAAACTTGCCACGTAGTAGAACAATTGGGTTATGTTGTGAAGATGCAATGTTTGCAGTCAAATATGCAAATTAGCCAATTTGAGTGACAATTTGAATGATGATCACAAAACAATCACATGTAGCAAGTCGAGGTACATCTTTGTAGATAGCCAAAAAAAGTCAACCATTAAAATTTATGGACTGGCATGAAGAGACTGAATACAACTGGGATGACACGCTTCATGAAAATGCAAGTTGTGCAGCATAGTTACAGTATGGCCACGGCAGTGATACTGCACAGAAAAAAAAATCAGTGCAGGAATAGAATTACAAATCATTGCAGCTTGGTCTGGCTAGCTGCACTGCTACCGCACAGAATTCATAGACATGGCTACCATAATGCTATAACCTAAAGCAGGAATGCCTTGTGCACTGGTCATTTCTGTGTGGCATAGACACTGGTTTGACTCTTATCACAGTTTTTGTTTGAGGAACTTGTTTTGTATTATTTCAAGCACAGGTAGATAGTAATTAATGTTGTGAAGTGAACCAGTTGGTTTGGTGGCAGGGACATCCTTACAGCAAGTCTTGGAAACATGATTGTAATGATCTGTGTGAGAAGTAGCTGCATCCATGCTGCAGTGCTAATTTGCATACAAAAAATGGTCATGCAGCAAGGCTGCAGCAGCTCAACAGCATAGATGCCACAACACTGCTGCAAGGCTGAAATTGTTATAAAAGACATTACCAATCTCACTTTGCCCCCTCCTCAATATAGATTCATCAAAAAACGGGGAAGATACTCACGAAATGCTTCTATTTCACCATGTATGGTAGCTAACTCCGTGAAGCTTTTGATACCACTTATATTCTGCACTGTGTTCAATGTACATGCCTCTAGATCAAAATCGACACCATTTATTTCACCACCAACCGTTAAATCTGACAACATTGAAAGGTCTTGCATAAACGTCTTTGCAGTTACAGTCTGAGTACCAGATATGGTCATAGTGTCTGCATCAGAGACTGATACATCAACCAGATTCACCAATCCTGCGAGAAAAAAATAATATTGTTATTTGGTCAAATTCTACCAAACAGGGTATTTAGATTCAAGCTCAATTATGTGAAATTTGATCAAAAAAAAAAAAAAATTGATTTACTGAAAGTATTGGAAGCAGAGTTGTGATTGAAATAATAGCTTCATTATTCATTGCGAGTACTGAGCATGCAACTGCTTTATTTTGTAAATTGTTTATTAAATTGAAATGATGGAATGATCCTGCATTGATTTTGATGTATTTTTGGTTGTGCAACCTCTAAACATTTGTTGATAGCCATACAACTTCACAAAGTCACTTTTATTCAGAAGTATTCAGAAGCTATATCACTTTGCCTTGAATAGAAAGCAATATACAGTCAATTTGACATTCGTATCTCACTGATTCCCCCAGACATGAACAATCACAAGGTTTTTACATTAAACTTCTCTACCGGGGCAAATAACTACATTTGTTTGGGATATAATAATAGATACAAGGTGTACATACAACTGCACTCTTGTCTGGGCATTCAATAATCAGGTGACAGAAGGGGGCTCGAGTTATTCAAACTTGAGTATACTTACCTGTAATAACAATATCGCCATGAACTTTTACATCATTACTAAATATTGGTGTACCACTGATATTTTGGTTTCCTAGAAGAGTAGGATTCAATTGAGTGTAAGCTAATTCTTTGTACGACATGCAAGGGCTCAAATAAATCAACCTCAAAAACATTTTCACTTCTAACCATGTCGTTAAATGCCAGTTAAGTTTCTACAGGACAATCTTACCATCTAATGTGACAACTTCTTCAGATACATCAACACCATTTACTTTACCATCTATAACAATGTCACCAATCACATGCAGAGTATTCTTGAAGACTTT